CCTGCATCTGCCTGTTCTTGGGGGACCTCCCGGCCTGGTCCTGTAGCCTCTGGGCATGGAGAGCTGGGCTGAGTCCCCTCCACTCCAACCTTCTTGGCCTTCGCACGGTGCTAGTGGGGCGCTCCGGTGGCACAGGACGGCCGCAGAGGTTCTCCCCGGCTGAGCGAGGGAGTCTCCAGCGTAGATGTGCCCTGCCCAGCGGGGAGCAGCCCCGTGTCCTTTGAGCCGGGGAGGGCTGATCCGAGCCCCAAGGGGGTGTTGAATTTCCACTGTCCTCCCAGGAAGAACTACAGGACCTTGGGTCTCTACTGGCTGGGCTCCTTGATGATGAGCATTGTCGTCTTCCTGCCGGGGAACCTGCTGGGTAAGGGGGTGCCTGCCCACGCCAGGCTCTGGGGAGCAGCCCTCTGGGCTCGTGGGGGTCTGGCTGCGTCCTGCCCGCGTTCTTCCTCCCCTCTGCAGGGATACACCCTAGAGCCGTGGGCTTGAGGCCAGCGGGCGTCACTAAAATCAGCATTGACTGGCAGAGAAGCCGGAGTGTGCCTGGGGTAGGACCCCCCCCATTTCCCTATACCAGAGGGGTGGGAGGTTGAGAGGGGGGATGCAGGAGGAGCGGGGCGTTCTCCCCAAAGGCCCTGGTCTCAGGGCTTGCACAACACGGGACTCTTCTCTCCTAGGGAAGTATGGCTCTGAGATCCGCCCCTCCTTCCTGCTCAACGTGCCCTACCTCCTGATCCCTGTCTGGGCTGGGATGAAACTCTTCCGCCAGCCGAGATCCCTTCCTTGCTGCACTGCTGAGAAGGTAGGTGGGCTGGGGGTCCCCGTGGGTCTGCGCAGAGCCAACGCCCCAGCCCACGTGTCAGACCCCCCATCGGGGCCGGGACTCGGCTCCTGTGCCCTTGTTGAGAACATTCCAGAGCTTCCCGTAAGGTTTGGGCTGCTGTTCCCGGAGCCAGGCACCTGTTCTCCAGCACCAGCCTCCATCCCTGTTAAGGGCCCCGCTCGGGTTCAAGCCCCGGCTCGGTTTTTCCCACATTCCAGCCTCTTATTTTACAGGGGTTTTTTTGGGGGAGGGGGGACCATTTTGGAGGCTGGAGCTGGGTGAGTGAATCCAGCATGAACTGCCCCCGTTCCCTTAGCTACCCGCCATCGCATGCACGTTTGACAGGTGGGGAGGGTTGCCAGGTCCCAGACAGTCCCATATTTGAGCTTTCTGTCCGGGAAACAAATTGAGACAATAGAACTGTCCGGTATTTTCTAAGCAGATGGAATGTCGATTGTGATGTCATGTCAAGTGTGTCCAGTATTTTTGTTGAAACCATCTGGCAACCCTACAGGCGGGGGCCGGGGGAGGAGGATGGCAAAACTTTTTGGGGCCTGGTCCAAACTTTTTACCAGGTGATGGGTCTGTGCGCGCTGCTGCCCCCTGCAGGCTGGTGTGTGTCTTACTTGCTCAGACTCATCCACTCCCTTTGCTGGCCGAGTAAAAGTGCTGCTTCCGCACAGTCAGGCCTGTGGGCGTCTTCCAGTGTCCCCCGGTGCTGCAGAGACACAGGGAGAGACAGGCTCTGCTCCGAGCGGAGTAGACAGGAAGGGCCCAGGATCATGGCACAGACCCCAGGCCTCCCGACTCCCTCTCCAGTCCTGTCCCTCAGCCCAGAATTTCTCAGCTCATTGGAGATCAGGGGCCGGCTTGCTGGTTTCCTGCGCTGAGATCTTGGGCAGTGACGCCGGCTGGTTGAGAATCGCTGACCCAGCCCGCGCCGAGCTGTAGGTGTGCCCATGGAGGCAGGGCATAGAGGCGGCTGCAGATCCCTTTGTCCTGAATCCA